GATAACAACAATTTACAAGGTAAAATTTCTCTCAAAAATGACATTGGCACAGTTCATGAAGTCTTTGAAAGTAGGGATACCCATCTTTCATATAGCAAGACTTTAGGGGGTCTTGAAAAAGACAACAATGATCAAACAAGCAAGCTCTATATCATAAACGTGATGACTTTAACTTTCTATCGTCAAATTTCCTTACTTATGCAGCAATAAACCTTCATTACCTGCATATAAAGAATTTCTAAAACGAGGTTAATTATTGACAAACAAGTTGATGAAAAAAGAATATCAGCAGTCTCGTTTAAAGTAATTATTTCGAAAGTACTATTGTGCATACAATGTCCTTGTCAGCAACTACATATGCTGACTGACATTTTTCTTACTGATTGTTAGTCCATTATTTATACACTGAATTGATGAGGGATATTTCTGTTATTTCCTGATCATTATTGAGCACAGGGTGGGTGCACGGTCTGCAGGGGATGCTCACTCTTCCACCTGATCGCATCGCTGATGTTTCGGAGAACCGTGTTTGCTCTGTTCCTTTTTTGTATTGTTTTATGGACTTTGATCTTGAATACTGTTCGTTATCTCTATATCTTACATTACAATAAATGATCTTGAAAATCCAAAATAAAATTGAAGAGGCTAGAACTATCACTCAAACCGATTTTCATTCCATTGTTAATGCTAAGTATAAGCCAGAGCTGTAAAAACACGTCTGGTCTCCTTGGATATTTATCTACCAGATGCTGGAGATGGATTAATGGTAGTTCTATAATGGGGTATATATTACCACTATACGAGGGTCATTCAAAAAATACGTAGACAATGTTCCTCCCGATCATATTATTTTTACAAGATTAATGTTCGACACATTTTCAAATGTAAAAACATTTATTTTATCGATGTGTGAAGTTTCATTCCATTTGATTACATGGAATTCCTGTTAGCCAGTTTTAAAAGCTACATGTTTTATCGCCACGGAGCACGGTTAAAACATTGTAACGTCAAAAACAACGTCGAAAAAGTTTCCTAAAGTTTACTCTGCCTTTTCATTTGATTACGTTTTTGTAACAACTTCCCCTTTCATTAAAACATATCCATAACACTTGACTAGGTACCTAGTTTGCCAAGAATTATTTAAGTACTTAAAGTTGGATTGTGGTTGTTTTCAAATTCTTTACTGGCAACTATGCTTTCACAAGTTCCATATAGCACGTTTCATGAAGTCACTTACTCTTTTGACAAGATTATTAATTAATATATGTTTCTTTGCAGATCGTCCTTCGTCCGATTTAAAGTCTCTACCACTCAAAAATTGTCTTTTCTATTATATACAGGTACACGGCTCATTTTCCATATATTTCCTGGTTCCTACAACATTTTCAGAGTTTGCTTTAGAGGTTTCCCGAATGGAAATCATCATTTTATTGCTACTCACTGCTCCGTGACGTCCTTCGACGTCATGATTTTTTGCTTTTTTAAATCAAGTCTATCTGTCATTAGACATCTATATCTTTTAAAGAAAGCGATGTATTTCAAAACCTTTAAGTATATGATGTAATAAAACAATACTAAATTTAAACATATAAATTTTATTTCGTTTAAGAAGCATTTATAATAGGTATGGCTTTAAACTTTATAAAGTATATCATAAGTACACAAGTCAATTTTGACCCTGCTCCGTGACTCTATTTTTTCCTTCTTAAATCTTTGATAATTTTTGTAAACATCAAGATATATTCCATTTTTTTACTCAAAATATTTGAATCTGTCCCTAAAATATGTGTACCAAATTCGGTTGTTATATGACGTTAAATAAAAAAGTTATGACAAAAGTCTACGAACTTTTTGAATGACCCTCGTACCACTTCAAAATTCAAAGAAAAATCAAAACAAGGGCTTGTAAAGTTACAAATTTCTAAAGACGGAGATACCTTGTATCATTTAAGATACAATTAGATTAAAATCATTTCATATTTTCTGTCTTCAAAGTATCAAAAATATGAAAATCAATAGTATTATTTAATATATATACATGTATGTAAAATAATTCTCAAATGGGACGTTTCATAAAAAATAGATAAGTCATTACATCTCATTTTCCATTCATTTCGAGCATCTTGTGAAAGGGAGACGGTTGAACATATTAATGAAGAACATAATTGTTTTTAAAGCATATTCTTTTAAGAAATATATAGTCAAAATTGAATCGTTTCATTCATATTGCTATTTGTGTTTTACAGATAAGAAGCTTCAGTTTTATGAGGATGGTCCCTCTAAAATACAGTTTCTACGTCTAACTGAACGTATTCGAAAATCATTGAAAGAAAGCGATTTACCATTAATAAAACATCATTTACTATGTCTGAGTATGTATTGTTCTTGATCTCTTGAATTTTCATAAAAAAATAATATAAACAGAACTGGTCACAAACTCTATAAATATTTTTATCCTTGAACTATCATTCCAAAAAGTTAAATGTTCTAAAGCTAAAAATACATATCAGATTCTTCATTCATAGATCTTCCAGGATACGGGATAGAAGAATCGGACAAAATTTTGAATCTGTTGGACCTCTTCAGCTTTCTTCTGACTCATAATTATTTTAGCAGTACCGATGTAGTGATTATGCAGCTTCTACTAAGATGTCTAGAAAGAAAGGACCTGGAAGACATGTGTATTAAATATGCCACTGAGGAGAGCAAGGCTTTGTGTTACTATGCAGAACGTGAAAAAACAGAGACTTAAAGAGTGAAAGTAAAGTTATCTTAAAACTCCAGTTTGTTATATAGCTACTTATAGCAAGTTTTAGTGCTTATTCTACTTCAAAAAATATCGCGATTCTCTCGTTCTTATGAACGATTGACTAAATGTTTATATAATGGCACCGAATTTTTTTAGCCAATAACATGTCACTGTACAATATTTTTGTTCGTTTACAAGATGGTGCTCAAAATACTGCTATCTTTTGCAGATCAGTTTTGCAAAATAAAAAAAATAAATCAATATTTATCATATTCATAAGTGCAAAACACTTTGTTTACACAGAAAACACAATCAAATACCACACACAAAACATTGATCTTACCAGATCTTCTATCAACCAACATTCCCACTATTAAAAATTAATAAAGAACTACGAACGATAGTATTGTTCTCCCGCCTACCTCTAAGTCAATATTCTCAAAAGTTAACATATTCGAATGATTTTCGAAATCTTTATAGTTAACATATTCGAATGATTTTCGAAATATTCATAGATATTTATATGAATTTTCATAAAACGTTACTTGTTTGGGATACAAAAGAGAGATAACTCTGTAATTTTGGTAAAACTTTTGTTTTTCACTATAGAAATCAACGGAAAACGGAAAATATTTTTAAAACATCTTTACCCCCCGTGAAACAAAAATTCCTTTTTACATGTTTCATGGACTGTCATTTTACAAATTAATGCCAAAGATTTTTCACCAATTTTAAAGCTATTTACAACTAAATAATTGTATTTTATTAATTTATATATGATTTATTTATTTGCGTATAACATAAGAAAAGATATGAGATACATTTTATGATATTTAAGACTATTTCAAAATATGGTGATTCTTGAAAGTTCGATTTAACTAGAAAATATCGTCTACCCCTCTTTTTTCAAGAGCTGGAATTAATGATAATTTACTTTCTAGCGCTGGAATTAAAATGATTAATCAATTACTATAGAACTGTTCTTTGTATTAAAGAAAGATTTAATGGCCAAATTCAAATTGCCATTAAAATTGAATTAAATGGGTGCAACATGTAGGCGGGAATCAAGAGTTAGAGTTCGTAGTTCTTATGTCTTTTTTTCTGTCAATGTTGATAAAGTCGAATAACTTAAGATATAAAAAAACATACAAAATAGGAATAAAATTCAAAACTTCAATATTACTACAACTTCCAAAACGTTCATCTTTGACTTTTAAATCAACCAACCAGGAATGGAAACCAACAAACCTAAACATGATATACTACATTACTTATGGAAACTCATAAATGACTTTAAGTAATAAAATGTATGTTTATAAATAACAGAATTAGGAGTCTTCTCTGGGTTACAATTAAAAATTAAGTTTTTAATAATTTATTCTATTTAAACCAATAGAAAATAATAAAAAATATATATAATAATCTTTACTTCCACAAGAGAAATGATGTGTTTACTTCCTTCATTTTTTTGGCTTGCACCTGTTTATTCTTTGTTAAATCTTTGCAAAGCTTTATACGATCATGTCCGTGTAACATTTTCACTTCGTTTCTTAGATACAGGATCAATTAATTTGTCGTCTACTAAAAGAATACCATAAAAATTCCCCGCCAAATGTCACAAGTATATTGTCTTTGACTCTTTTTCTCTGATTGTTCTATCAAATGAGTGCAAAAACTAAGATTATGGAAATAAATTTTTTTCTTGACGCTTGATTTTTAAGCTTCAGAGTTATTAATTGCAATTTTTAAAGTCAAATGTAAATAGCACATTGAATGTGGACAGCCAACACTCACACAATTAATTTGATAATTTTTCTTGCTATTCTCTTTCGCGGATGTCCCAAAAGTGGTCTATTACAATAATTAACAAACTCCCTCCAACTGGTTAATGGGATATCCCTTTTTGATTCAGTCTCTCCTCCCGCTTTTCTTTAAATAATACAAAATAATGTCGTTAAAAGGTTAGATTATTCAAAACAAAACGTCAATTAAAATGTTGAACCGTCTTTGTATATTTACCTTCCCTCAGAGTATTATCTCATTGTTTTCACTTGGAGAGAATTTCATGTAAAAGACAGATTGTTCTTTTATTGCTTTAAATTATGATTGTATGAAGAAGTGAAAATTTTGCTTAAGACAGCCACAGAATTCTTGAAATTTAATAGACGCACGAAAAAAAATTACTTGCAACAAAATATATGATCTTACCATTGTCTAATCATTATGCTTATTTGTTTTTGTAGAGAATGGATGCACACATGTGCAATTTCACATTTCTAAAAATATTAATAATTATCCCCGGAAATATGCAGAGAGGTTAAGGGAGACTATTGCTGAATTAGTTGAGTGTCCTAAAGAGTGTGTAGTATTGGACGGAATTCGCCGTTCAAGTAGCTTCAACTTAGTGTTTCAAATGAAGAGCAAACACGTGTCAAAACTGATACATATGCAGCCGACAAAGTTAGCTGTACTTGGTAGATACGCTGTGGACAAAATAATTGTTGGTCAGCAGACGATTCCTATAGACTCAAATGAAACATGTACATGTAAGTATAATTTAGTAATTTTTACAAATACAGACACCTGCTATCATTCAACTTAAACACATAATCATCCAGTCTCTAACTGACTGATTTTTTTGGTCATTTTAAAATGACGGTTTAGAAAACGTTTTATTTCCACTATGGAAGATTAATAACTTTAAGTGTGCTATTTAATGAAAAGGACGGAAAATGTTCAAATCTTTCGGGATTTCTTGTGCAGAAAATAAAACGAGGCATCCTTACGCAGTTATGATAAGGCTGTCCGAAGGTTAAAAATGCATTAAAAACAATGCATTTTATTTTGAGCTAGATTTTAACTTTAATATGTAATCCTTGGTTGAATTTGCTGTCAACTTGTGATAAGAGTTTAATCAGGTATTAAATAATAAAGCATTTCGTTAATGTCAAATGACTTTGTTGATCACGTGACTGTTACATATTCCGACTTAACTCAATATGAGTTAAGACCCGTTATGGAGACAAATAGAGATAAAAAGTTCAGGGAAGATAACTCTAACTCAAATGCACTGGCTTCATTTAGCCACATCTATTACGCATGTGCATTTGCGCTTCCTTTCCAGCTTCCGTCATCCATTGAAGCTCAGCATCGAGTTTAGTCTCAACAATATTCATCTTCATCTTGTGTTCCTTTGACTGTGTCCAATGTTTACAAGTGCATGCTCCTTGGTTGTTCAATTACCATCTCTTACTTTTGGGAAAAAATTTCATCTAAATTCCATTGGATTGTCAGTTAGTAGGTGACAAACATAAATAAATAACTAAATAGATAAAATAATAAATAAATAAAATAAAACAAATGAATAAATTCCAAGGATTCCTTACAGAGTGTTCAAACTCCTTTTAACATTTCAACAAATTTGTCAAGAAATAGGAATTCCAATTAATGCAGATTAAGATTGAAGGCCCAACCACTTATTTAAAAGAAAATAAATAAATAAATAAATTCCAAGGATTCCTTAGAGTCTTAGAAACTCCCTTAACATTTCAACAAAATTGTCTGGAAATAGAAATTCCAGTTAATCCAGATTAAAATTGTAGGCCACACAATGTATTTAACATAAAATTAACAAACTAATGAATAAATTTCAAAGATTTCCTTAGAGTGTTAGAAATTACCTAAACACTAACAAACTTGTCAGGAAATAGAAATTTCAATTAATTCAGGTTATAATTGAAGGCCCAACCACTAATTTAACATTTCTTGTTCTAGTTAAAAATTCCACAAGCCATGTTGAAGTTCAAGTTTAATTTATTTACTCAAACTATATAAGTGGTACATGAGGTTCAACAATATATGTGCAAGATATACAAAAAATGATATACAAGATATATGTGAAATAGTGCAAATACATTCTTATGAAGTAACAAAAATAATTATGCCAAACATGTTCATTCCAGAGCACATCTGTAAAGAGGTAAATTTGGTTGGCTGATTATTGTCGATTTCAAGAAGCCCACCTTTCAAATGCAGTATTGTTCAATGCCGTGGCCTTTGTCATTCAATTTTGGCTAAACAGTAAAGTTTTATCAGGAAGTGTGGCATGTAGCTGAAGATTTCACAATGCAGTTTTAGCAAAAAACTGTATCTCTCTATATCTCTCTCTATCTCTGTATATATATATAATTTAAGAAAAGCCCAGTGTTTTAAATAAATAGACAATTATATATAAATAAATAAATAAGTGAATTAATTAATAGATTAAATAGATATTTAAAAAATAAATAAATAAATGAATGGAATAAATTAAAATAAAAAAAAAAAATTAAAAAAAAAATAAAAAAAAAAAAAATAAATAAATAAATAAATAAATAAATAAATAAATAAATAAATAAATAGATAAAATAAAATAATAGATAAATAATAAAATAAAAGAAATATAATGAATTAAATTAATTACTTGAATGAATAGATACAATTAAAAATAAATAAATAAAATAAAATAAAATAAATAATAATAATATTTAAAAAAAAAAAAATAAATAAATAGACAAATAAATATAATTAAGTTTATTAATGAATTGATTAAATAGATACAAAAATGCAAAAGCATAATTATACATGTATATATATCTTCCACATTTTGTTAAACCAAGAAACATCTTCATTATTTGAAATACTTCACAGCTACTTGTCAGTTAGACCCAACATTCCGCGTTCAGTTTTTTGATTTCATTTGTTGGCTTTGACACTAAAACATTTAAGGGTAATACTCTTAGAATTTGGGGCGCTACACACTTGAATTTATCAGGCTTGTCTGAAGATTATATAAAGATTAAAGGGAGATGGAAGTCCATGCATGTCAGACTTACATTCAATTTTAGTCAGTCAGTAACTTGTCAACACCATTTTACTGTTTTTTAACGTATCCTAAGTTTGCAGGTACTTCTGTCAAGGTATGGATTATTGGATCATCTTTAATAGTATTATGCAAAAAACCACACATTCATCAATTTAGATAATGCGAATTGGACTTAGAACAATACAACATCCATATCAGATGCTTTGGTCAACAAGAAATAACCTGGAAAAAAGTCCAACCATTCAAATGTTCAAACTCTGGTGTCATAATACGACAACCCACATGTCATAATGATTCATTGTGGGTAATAATATTGATTCCATGTCCTTTTGACATCTCCAAAAGTTTATGAAGTTGACTGACTGATTTTTGATTATGTTTAATACCAAGGTTTAAATGTATTGGGTTACAAATACCGCCAAGAAATTATTTCAGGCCCATGTTGTCACACAAGGCTTGCATTAGGATAAATAGCTCATTATACTGGTTCATTACCACAAGGATAGGGGTATATTCACTACCCCAATATTCAACAGGGCTCATAAAAATTGTATCCAGAGGGTTTCCACCTTTCTCATATAGCACATTCTACCATTATCCTCTATACCATTCAGTGTGACATAATCAAAATAATTTGTCAAAATTTGCAGTGCAGACTGTGCTACCTACCAATTCCATTTAATTATTGATCATTACATATATTATTGATCTTTGCAACTATTGATCTATTGAACTATTGAACAGTTATTGATCATTACATATATTATTGATCTTTGCAACTATTGATCTATTGAAAAGTTATCGATCATTACATAATATATTATTGATCTTCAAATAAATTTCCCTAGTTCTACGGTATACTGCATATATATCAAGCAGTAATTAATTTTGCATAACTGTAATACATAGCAGTTTTGTCATGGCATGGGCAAAATTTGCCGCATGTGGCGGATGTCTTCACATGCCGCGCTTTATTAGCTCCCATGTGAAGACATATGGCCGAATTTTGCTAGAAGCTCGCTGCTGATCCTGTTATCTTCCAGGGCCAGTGGCCAATAATTGAGCTTCCGTCATTGTGCCATTGCTATTGATTCTACGTCATATACTATTGATAAAGTCGACGTAGACCATTGTCTTTGTAATACATTGTTACCTGCTCATTGCAATTCATTTATCATTGAATATCATTGTATATCATTGAATATAATTGCATATTATTGCATAAAATTGCATATCATTGAATATCATTGTACCCATTGTGTAAATACATGTATACACTTTGCGTACATCATTGATTGAATATCATTGTTTATCATTGAATATCATTGTACCCATTGTGTATTAATTATTCAATATACACTTTGTGTTCATCATTGAATTGATACTTTATGTACATCATTGTAGAGATACCTTGTGTACATCATTGTATTCATTGTATTGATGATTCATTTGACTATTGATTGTATTGATGATTGATTTTGACTATTGATTGTATTGATGATTGATTTGAATATTAATCAATAAAGCCATGACAAAAACTGCCAATCATTCTTAATCTATTTTGTCGACATAATCCGACTTAACTCAATATGAGTTAAGACCCGTTATGGAGACAAATAGAGATAAAAAGTTCAGGGAAGATAACTCTAACTTAAATGCACTGGCTTCATTTAGCCACATCTATTACGCATGTGCATTTGCGCTTCCTTTCCATCTTCCGTCATCCATTGAAGCTCAGCATCCCACCCACCTCTCCCAATTAACAACATTATGATGAATTGTTCTTTTGTGTCAACAAAATGTTGCTGCTGTTTTTGATTTCCTTTTTCAGTCAACATCCATTCTCTTGGCTACCAGCAGAAGAATCCATTACATCCATTCCTTTGGCCACCAGCAGAAGAATCCATTACATCCATTCCCTTGACCACAAGCAGAGGAATCCATTTCTGCCGTTCCCTTGGCTACCAGCGATGGGATCCATAATATCCGTTCCCTTGGCTATCAAAAGAACCCACTAGCGTCATGGCTTTATTACGTCTCATTGAAATGCAAAGTATATGGTCTTCTTACAGGCCGTTTTTTAATGCTAAATCGAATTTTGGCCGAATTTTGCTAGAAGCTCGCTGCTGATCCTGTTATCTTCCAGGGCCAGTGGCCAATAATTGAGCTTCCGTCATTGTGCCATTGCTATTGATTCTACGTCATATACTATTGATAAAGTCGACGTAGACCATTGTCTTTGTAATACATTGCTACCTGCTCATTGCAATTCATTTATCATTGAATATCATTGTATATCATTGAGTATAATTGCATATTATTGCATAAAATTGCATATCATTGAATATCATTGTACCCATTGTGTAAATACATGTATACACTTTGCGTACATCATTGATTGAATATCATTGTTTATCATTGAATATCATTGTACCCATTGTGTATTAATTATTCAATATACACTTTGTGTACATCATTGAATTGATACTTTATGTACATCATTGTAGAGATACCTTGTGTACATCATTGTATTCATTGTATTGATGATTCATTTGACTATTGATTGTATTGATGATTGATTTTGACTATTGATTGTATTGATGATTGATTTGAATATTAATCAATAAAGCCATGACAAAAACTGCCAATCATTCTTAATCTATTTTGTCGACATAATCTCTC